TAGATTTGTCCTTTGGCCCTTTTCAGTATACCAGTGCAGCCAAAATGTAATATTGGAAGATTGCATATTACTGTAGATGGAGCATCAACCCTTTAACCTGCAGACTCCAGACCAAAACACTTTCAACAATCAGATTTTGTATCAGGACCTTTGTTATAATATCTTCAATGACATGAAAGGGAACAAGTTTCATATCTTTTAGAAGTTGGGGGTTTTTTAAGTTTAAAAAATATCCTTTGTTCTAAGAAATTTTTTTATAAACATCAGCTTAACTGACATCTATAAATTTCATAAAAAAAGGTGCCTAGAAACAAGTACAAAAATACAAATCAGGCGTGGTGATGTTCATTAAGTCAGTGCCTGAAAGAGACCCCGGCAGTTCTGGGAGTGCTGGTGCCCACACTGTGACTGCAGAGAGTGAAGGAGGCAGCACCGACCAGAATTGAGGCCGTCAGCAAGTGTTGCCCTGCAGTGCTAACGGCAGTCAACAGGATGTGCCAATGAAGGAGGCATGTCTAAAACTCAATCTCTTACTGTATTTGGGACCTGCTAGTTATATCATTCACAGTGCAATCCATAGGCTACTGGTGCTTTTCCTCCTAAAGTGAAATTTCAGTTCATATTCCCTGCACTGTCCATACGTGTTGTGTCAAGTCACAGCTGCCACTGCACAAAGATCTAGCTCAGAGGTTCTGGACTGAAGTCTGGCATTTGAGCTCACAAAACTCAGCAGCTCCCAAGGGTTCCTTGCCCAAGTCCCCTATTTTTAAGTTTGTACGAGTCAGAGAAGTCATCAGGGCAGAGGAACTCGACATACACACCACCAAAGGCCTTCTCAGGCAGGACACAAGGGATTTCTCCTGACCCTCCTGCTTGGAACGAGTAGACTCTTCAGGCTGGAGCATCAATGTCTTCTCTTTCTTGCCTTCTAATCCTGAGTCTAACCTCCCTGTCTATCTTGCCACTGGATGGAGTATAACTTCTCCATCAACACAGGGTGCTTATGTAGCTTCCTCACAGAAGCCACTTGGGTATATCACGTGGAGGGAAGGGGGTTCCAAATATATCACTAAAACAATAGTACCTATTGCATTTACTATACATTGAACTTTCTCCTCATCCTCTTTTTCCCCACCATGTGCAAATAGACCACCTGCAGTAGGTGAGCACAGCAAAAGGGATTTATGCTACAACAGTCAAGCTCCTGTTTTATCAAGCAACTTAATTCTATAGTTACTGTCTCTTTCTTTTCCTCTTTTTTTTGACCTCTCATCTTCTTGATGACAAACCATTACACCTTGTCATTCAGAAACCAAAATCTTCAGGTCAGGAAATCTGTGTTAGTGAACTGCTACATATCAGGCTTCTTAGTTGTTTGGTAAAAGTAAGAATTTTGCTGTTCAAGCAGCTGTAGAGTAAATCAGTGCACATTCTGGGATTCACAGGAAAGGGCACTGCCTCACTGAATTACTACAGCTAGATTTGGTAATAGTCTTTCAAGAATGCTCACATTAACATTGTACCATGGCAAGTGATCTAAAGGATCTCTCAAGATAACCATTCCAACAATAAAAAGACACATAAAACAAGTTTGCCAAAATACAGTCACACATGTCCTGAAATGAAGTGTGAATCTATGGCATTGCTCTGAAAGAAGATAACTGACTAATATCCTTGATGCTGGGTTTCCAGTGCTCTTAGAGCTGCATAAGAGACTATCACAGCCCCAAATGTCTTCCCTGTGAAGGTCGACTGCAATGTAGTGCATTTATGGCCAGTCATTTTCTGTGTAGTTTCCAGAGAAGCATTTGAGCAGATTGTGCATTTTTTCCTCAATTGGCTATTCTCAGCTAAAAAATTGTTTTAGAGATCCTGAACAATAACACAGCCCCTGGGTGAAAAGCTTCTCTGCTGGCTGACACCATAAATGATTACATCCAAGCATAAAATTTAATGAGATTTCTACAAAAATGAGTGACATCTGCATAGCACTCAGGTCCTGGCTAACTGTCATACATTTGTCATCACTGAGGCTTTTGTCCTTTATTAATCCTCTTTCAAGAATGCCTGCTGTTGGAAATGGAAATGCTTTTTAGCAGTCACCCTGCAGACTGTGTAAGAGCACACATCTCAGAAAGCATAATGACACATTGTCATGCCTAGGAATGCACTTAAAAGGTTTAAAAAACATGAGAGAATTCGAACAACAAAATATATTGAGAATTTAGCAGGAGATGTCTGCATAAATATATTTTACATCTTTTAATATAAGCAAGATACTTGTTCTTTTGCCTATAATAGGGTAGCTAGAAACTCTTTAACAATATTTGGTGTGCATGGGAGAAATATTTTTGTATAGGAGAAGTACTAATATATTTCCCTTTAATTTTGTTTGTGCTTGGGACCAGGATATAATTCTGGGCTTAGGGCTCCAACCCAGTAAAAGCATATGATCCCAGCTTTCCTTTAAACTTCCCCTCATGGCTACAAATAAAAACCTCACTAGTATTTTCTTAAATCAACAGATAGCCTGAAAGAATAGATGATGGAGATTGAAGATCACCCTATTGTATTAAATTAGCCCCAGGACTTACTGTTCTGAGATGAAGCCCTGACCTAGTGCTTCCCGTCAAAGCACAGCAGACCCTTGGCAGGAAGGTGGGAGAGCAGAATACACATCCTTCTGCCATGCTTTCTCCCAGGAAGAAAAGCAAGACCTTTGAACAGCAAATAAAGACAGGATTCCAGAAGGCCAGGAGTCACAGGGTGTCCAAGGGGTGGCACTATCTTATCCCAGCACAGTTTCTAACCTGGTGAAAGGCACTGACAGCAATGAAGTCAAGCCTGCTGAGCAGGAAGAGCAAGGAAAAAAGAAAGACTCCCAGCACCAAAGCTGCTCATCATCCATGAAAGTGGAAAATTTTGTTCTTCCTATAGCCCAGAACTGTACTCCGAGCTCCTATGAAGAGGACTGCAGTGTGTTGTGGAGACAATCTTCTTTCATCAAACATCCTTAATAGTAAATTTTACTCAATTCCTTCCATTCTTGGAATGGAAAGAATTGAATCCCTTGAATTTCAAACATTCATTTGTCTTTTTTTGTGGCTATTATTCCTAAATACTAACATTTTATTGTCAATCAGTTGCTTGTAGATCATTGCCAAGCAAACAGAGGCAAGTGAATAGCACAAATTGCTTTCTCATTTAAAGCATTCAGTGTTCCTTTCACTCTGAAGCTATTGAGCTCCACTGTTACAAAACTCTGATTGTACTGTTGTCATAGCTCATGTAAACATGCTTTTCATGAAGCTACATCAAAGGAAATATAAAGCTGTTTGCACCTGGAAATGACAAAAAAAAAAAAAACCACAACAACTAAAAATATTTCTGTTAATGAGGTTTTTTAGCCTTTGATATTCAGATAAATTTCTAGTCATGGACTAAGGAATCTAGCCAGCAAAATATTTCAGTGCATGAAATTGCACTAAAATATAATAATGCTGAGCTCAGTAGTGCAGAAGTCCTGGCTACAACTGCCACTCCAAATGGAGGCACCAGACTCAAGAGTTTGTCACTCTGATCTGCAGGTGCTGAGCTCTGATAGTTCAGCAAGTGGGACCACACGAGCCATCACAGCTCATGGGAATGGACGTATCTGAGGAACTTTGTTCACTGTGGCTCATATTGCATGGAAATAGCTCCCAGCAATTGCGTTCTATTAATGAAGATTTTTCCATCATCACCATCCTGCGGTTTTGCTTTGGGAGAAGGTGTTCAGTAGTGCTTTTCTGATTTCAAAGTCCTCCATCTGTGTAGGAGCAGAAGCAAAATTTCAGCCTTCAACAACCTGAGGATGGGAAAGAATCAGAAGGGTCTTGGATGCCAAGCAAATTCTGACTTGTCATAAACATTAATAACATTAATATTTTCCAGAAGCATTCAGTCCTGTCCTTCAGGACTTACATAAGCTTTAAGTATAAGAAACCACAAGAGAGATGGCTGTTGTCTCTATGACAGAGATACACATTTTCTCCTAACCATCTGTTTGCAACAACTGTGGAAGAGGATCCTGAATCAGAAGAACCTTTTCTCTGATTTAGTTTAGCAATTGCGAATGGACAATGTTTTTAAACACCAATAATATCAATATCAGGAAGAATTCAAGAAGAAAATTGGAAGTAGGAGTGGGACATCATAGCAATATTTTTATTTTGAAGTCACATTTGCTATCAGGTATCTCACTGGATCACTTACACAGCCTATACAAATAGTGATTAGCATATTCTTATTTGGTGCAGCTGAGTGGAATAAATAATCCCTTAATTTCTCAAGTGAGAAGTTGTTGGTTTTGAAGGGGGTGTCTGTGTTTGTTTTTAATGAAACCATTCCCGTTATCAGCATTCACAATATTTGAATTATGGGTTTTGTTTTTGGTTTTGTTTTTGGTTTTGGTTTTTAATAGCTTTCAATTAAACAGTTAATGGACTTCCAGCAGGACAGTAATCCAAGCAATTTCCCTGAGAGTGAATTTTAGAAAAAGGATGAATGCTGTTTTCTTGATTCAGTTATTAGTAATATTGTTCTTCAAGAAGCACATCTACCCGTACTTCATTTTGATCACTATTTGTCTTTTGTGCTGCTGAGTCTCACAGAAAGAGAAGATGCAATTGTGACTGTTCAGTCTAGCCTGGATACTTAAAAAGTTACGCTTCTTTTCCTTTTATTTTAGGTTCAGAACAATTGAGGAATTTTTCAAAATTTGTTTCTAGTTCTGGTTTGTCTGCTGTCACTCTGACAATTGATACTGACACAACATTTAAAGAGCAGAAACAACTGCAATTTATTGGCAGAAATCATGTAAATTAGGTATCTCCATGATGCAGTAGTGTGCATTTTAACCCATGTATTTCATGGATATTGAAGTCTGTCGGGTCCCTACATTATTTGTGCTCATTTGTGATGATGGTGTGATCTGTTTGATTATTCCACTCTATTTCTAGGTCCTCCTGGTCCCCCAGGGGTTGTAATAGTGGAGGAAATTACAGACACTACAGCAACACTCTCCTGGAGTCCTGGGGCAGACAACCACAGCCCTATCTCCCTCTACAACCTGCAAGCACGCAGTCCATTTTCTCTTGGCTGGCAGACTGTAAAAACAGGTGAGAAAAACTTTCAAACAGGACAACTAGACTTTTCAAAACCCTTGCTCATCACAATAATAACCATCAGCAACTGCAGGAGCACATACTCTTAGAAGAACAATGATAAGTTAAAAGCACTGGGGTTTTTTTCCTCGATTTCACTCCTTTCAAGCTACTTAGCAACAGCTCTGAAAGGACAACACAAAGACACCTGCCATGAAACATCTGTGAATAAGCAAAAAGCTCTCCCCTGTAGTCTTCAATCTGTGTCTTTTCAGGAATACCATAGAGACAAAAATGGAGTTGTAATTTCTGACATATTAGGTACTTGATGTCTATTTCAAGGTGAATATCAGGAAAAATTTTTTTACTGTGAGGGTGACGGAGCACTGGAACAGGCTGCCCAGAGAGGTTGTGGAGTCTCCTTCACTGGAGACATTCAAAACCCGCCTGGACGCCTTCCTGTGTGATGTACTCTAGGTGGTCCTGCTCTGGCAGGGGGGTTGGACTAGATGATCTTTTGAGCTCACTTCCGACCCCTATGATTCTATGATTCTATGATCATTTCTAATGGCCATATTGTATCCCAAACTCTACTTGCCATTGAAACACAGCATGTGAGCTTCAGATTTCTAAGTGGCCTGCACATTTCTTTACTGTCTGCAGTTCCAGATGTGATAAGTGGTGACATGGAGTCTGCTATGGCAGTCGAACTGAATCCTTGGGTGGAATATGAGTTCAGAGTTGTAGCAACCAACAAAATTGGGACCGGAGATCCAAGCACATCATCACGAGTGATCAGAACCAACGAGGCAGGTAAGAAGAGGATAAACAGTTTAATTTTCCAAACAAGAACTCTTTTGATACAATAATAGACCTATGCTCTTCTCCCTGGTACAGTTCTGTGTATTCAGTCATCACTATTACAGGGTGATATTCTTTGTAATGGGGAGCCAGTTTGTATTAATCACAGAAATATTGTTTAATTTACAGAAATTTCCAATAAACCCATTCTATGCTGTCTTACTCCAGGCTGCTGTACTCTTCATCTTACATTTAAGCCATTGCTGCCAGCCCTCTGGCAGGTTTTCACTGCTCTTCAGTTGTAGGCTGCTTCTCAGTCTCTTCAAACAAGTGCTCCCAAGGAGCTTCTCTCTCTGTATTCTTCTTAACTTCTTTCCTTGAAGGTGCATGGAACTTTTTTCTGCGAGATAGCTAAGCCGTGGGAAGCTCCTTAATTTGAAATACCTTGTGTTCTAAGTGTTTCTTTGTCATGCACACTCTACCATGAACTGTGTTGCATTTAAAGAAATTTCATTATAGTTCTGACTGGGATGATACTGTGGGAGATCAGGAAAAATGTTTTATATCCTATTTGGGTCTCCTGAAAACTGCAGTGGTCTCAGAAAATTTGAAATCATTGATAGTAACTTGAGTAGAACGAAGGGACATAAAGAAGGATTTGGAATCTGAGAAAAATCCCTAGAGAGCCAAAAAGACATGCTTTAAGAGGCAGAAAGAGAGAGGGGGTTTGAATAAAACTTTAAAAGAGAACTGCATCTCAGAACACTTTCAGATTATTCTTCATTCTTCTTTGTTCTTTAGGAGGCCTAGAGAGTTTTGATTTTGTTTTGATGTTCCTTTGGCTGAAAAATGTTTAAGTAGTTTACTGATCATAGAGAATACAGGAATGACAAATGCAAACATTCCCCTTGAATCTGAAAGTACAAATGATTTTGTAGCTAGAAACATTCTGGATGATCACAGCAGATGTGTTGAATTCTATCTTCTCATTAAGGGTTATTATAAGAATTACAAGTGGCAATATCAAAATGTGTCCACCTTTCTTATTCTAAAATAAAATTCTTGTCTTTTAAGAAGTTAATCTTCTGCCTCAGCTCCATAGTTCACTGATCTGTATGTATGCCACGCATAAACTTTCATGGCAGAATGTTCAGGCTGATTTTCTTAGACAGAATCACAGAATCAATGTAATAATTGGGGCTGCAGGGGATCTTGGAAGGTACCTAGTCCAGTCTCCTGCTCAGAGCTCAGTAAACTGACTTTGGAGCAGGTTGCTTAGGGTCCAGCTGAGTCTTTTAAACCTCTAAAGAGGGATGTTGCACATCATCTCTGGGAAACCTATGCCAGCAGTTAACTAATCTCGTTGTGATTTTCCTTTCAATATATCCAGTCAGAACTATCCCTATTTCAGCTTATGACCACTGTCTCTTGCCTTCACACCCTGAACCATCATGAAGACCCATGTCTGTCTCCTCAGTGGCACTGAGGCTGCTGTTAGGCCCCCCAAAGCCATCTCTGCTCCAGGCTGAACAAGCCCTGCTCCCTCAGCCTCTCCTCCCAAGGCAAGTGCTCCAGCCCCACCATCCCAGCATCCTCCCTTGAACTTGCTCTAGTTGATCACTGTCTTTCTTATTGCAGCACCCAGAATTGGATGCACTATTTCAGATCAACTCTAATAAACTTTTCTTCAGTTGTAATAAGAAATATTTTTTTTCTGCTTTAAATAACTGTGTAGTTGCTAGATACTAATTTTCACTGTGCAATCACAGAACTGCACTGAAGTGATTTGATGCCCATTCATGTATGAAGAGGGATTCTTCCTTTCCAACTCTTCCCCTCACCTTCTGCAAGCTCCCCACAGCGTGAAACTTGATAACTTTATAGCAGAAGCTTCAGATGTTATATGCTTTGTTCCATTAAGAAAAGGAGGAAATGAAAATGAAATAAAACCCACGAACTACTTTCCTCTTAAATTATTTTTAAAACCTCCTTATTTCACCACCATTATTCTTTCCTTGATTTTTGCACCATATTTCAGTGGTAATTAAAATTCTGCTGTACCCAAATCTTTGAATGACTTCTTTATTCAGTCAGGTGGTACTTATCAGAGAGGACACAAACATTCTGGAAAAAGTTTACCCTGCAATAGTTTACAACCCTAGGATTATGTTCTTTCAGATTTACTAATACATTTCCTGTTTTTGAAATGGTGTTTCAGGATTTTAATTTACCAGATGTATTTAAGCTGTGAGCAAATATTCTTTTCTCACAAACTGAAGCTTGTAAATGTTATATTTCATCTAGCTGTCATGGTTTTTAGGCTCCTCCTTCTTTCTCAGTGTCTCCCAAACAAAGGCTGTATTTGCTAAAACATATTCCTACAACACCAGTGAAAGTTTTCACTGCACATACATTTTCAGTATTCCTTTGGATACTCAGTACAACTTTACCTCTGTAAAAATGATTTAGTCATAATAGTGATCAGTAAAAAAGAATTGTGGGATAGAAAAAGCATGCAGTGTGCCGTGTGTTTTCACCTGGTGATTAGTATTAATTTCTGGCTACTATTCCACTATTTCTGCCATCAGAAGGAACAGTCTTTATCTCAAAAAGGAATGATCTGTACTTAGGAGGAGTACGTGGGGCTCCTCCTGATAAACAGCACTGCAGCTGATGATAATGCAAGAATAACAGATCAGTAACATATCAGTTCAAAAAGGATAAAAGGCCACACTAGGCATTTATTTGCACTTCCAGCTTTCCAGTTAGTAATACCTTTTTGCTACCAGAGTTACCGCTGCACAAATGTATGTTAAAAGACAGTGTTTTATAGCCTGACATTGAAATACAGACAGGTGACAGTAAAACAATTTAACAGCCTTCAGAGAAATTAAATCTGAATTTATTTGATGTGTTTGCTTACACAGCGTGCTACAGCAGAAGTCTGTTGCCATTGCCTCAATTTTAAAAGACCTTTTTTTAAGGAAGATTTTTATTTCTGTTTCACTTGTGAATGGCTTTGGGGTTGTGTTTTTTTTTTTTTTTCCAATTAAAAAGATAGACAGAGGTTCATATTTTTATTCCACAGATGGAGCAAGAACACAGGAGTTGCAATAAGATACAACTTCCCAATTTGTCAGAACCTGCAAAGAGTTGTAAAGTCAGAACAATAACACAATAGACTCTGCTTTAAACAATGAATCAATCAAACAACAACCAAAAAAAACCTGTTACGTGTATAATTCTTCACAAAACAGCGTGCTGCTTATAATTTTTATGGCACTTTTGAAGTGCCAGAGACTTCATGATCTGTTTCATTCAGGCAGCCACTTTTTTCCTGTTTTCCAGGTATTCCTGAAGTCCGGAGCCTGTTTAGCTCTGTCCTCTGAGACAGCTTTCAGTGAAATATCACCCTTGGTACAGTCTTCACATGTCAAAGTCAAAGAGAGAGGAACAATTAACAGTTTTCATTGAGTTTTATATGTGATTTTCCAAATTAGCACAGTAATATCTATCTTAGTGTACCCAGTGATACATTATTTTTCAGAACCACTCTATCACTAATTTTTTTATCTGAAAGCTTCAGGGGAAAAATCTCTGTTAACAAGGACTCCAGTTCTATTATCATAAATCTCAATTTTTAAAAGGCATGCATGCAAAAGGACATTATATTTCAGAGAGAACATGACATCAACTTCTCTACTCCCAGGCAGGGTAGCTGGGCTATTTGTGGTGATGTCCTATGTGGCTTACAAATGAAAACTGGCAGGCTACCCTTGCACTGAGTAAAACTTCAGGATGGACCACTTGGTGGATAAGGAACTGGCTGGATGCTTGCACTCAAAGAGTTACAGACAACAGCTTGTTGTCCATGTGGAGACCAGTGACGTGTGTTGTCAGGGATTGGTGCTGGGACTAGTGCTGTTTAACATCTTTGTTGGTGACATGGACAGTGGAATTGAGTGCACCCTCAGCAAGTGTGCAGGCAACACCAAGCTGGGTGGTGTGCTTGGCATGCTGGAGGGAAGGGATGCCATTCAGAGGCATTGACAGGCTTGAGAGGTGGGCCCATGCAAACATCATGAAGTTCAACAGGGCAAAGTCCAAGGTCCTGCACCTGGGTAGAAGCAATCCCAAGAACGAATACAGGCTGGGCAGACATTGAGAGCAGTCCTGAGGAGAAGGACTTGGGCATGCTGCTTGATGAAAAGCTTAATATGAGCCAACAAAGCCCAAATGCATCTCAGAAAACCAACCGTATCCTTGGGTGCATGAAAAGAAGCATGGTCAGCAGCTCAGGGGAGGTGATTCTTCCCCTCTACTTCACTCTTGTGAGACTCCACCTGGAGTGCTGTGCCCAGCTCTGGAGCCCCCAACACAGAATGGACATTGACCTGTTGAAGCAGGTCCAGAGGAGGGCCACAAAGATGATCGGAGGGCTGAAAAATAGATCCTACAAGAACAGGCTCAAAGAGTTTGGGTTGTTCAGCCTGGAGAAGAAGAGGCTCCAGGGAGACCTCCCTGTAGCCCCCCTATCTGAGGAGGGCCTACGAGAAAGCTGTGGGGGGACTTTTACAAGGGCTTATAAAGATAAGATGAGAGCTAAAGTGTTCAAACTGGAAAAGGGTAGATTTATATGAGAAATTAGGAAGAAGGTCTTTACTATGACAATGGTGACACACTGGAACATGATGCCCAGGGAAATTGTGAATGCTCCATTACTGGATGAGCTCAATACCAGGTTGGATTGAGCTTTGACCAACCTGGTCGAGTGGGAGGTGTCCCTGCCCATGGCAGGGGGGCTGGAACTACATGATCTTTAAGGTCCCTTCCAAGCCAAACTATCTTTCTATGATGCTATGGATATCAGTGTCCTAGAAGAGAAGGTGACTATGCCTCATGGTCAGATATGAGTCATAGAGGCATCAAATGTGTGATTCTGCTTCCATTGTTTTATACTTAAACAGCATCTGTAATTTAATGGCATAAGCTAATTTGACTGGAGGCTAAAG